GTCATCAATGGTATCAAATTTGGTGAGGACAATGCCATCAATGAGCCGGGGTGTTTGAGCCATGGAATGGTCAGCCAAGGCTCTGTTGAACTTGACCTGTTAGGGAGAAACATGGTATAAGTACAAGAAGTACCCAGCTGGCCAAAGCTGAGGCTGGAAAAAGAACGAGGCCCTAGTCCTCACCAGCTGGTCCACGGCCTCATTGCCTACTAAGGCCTCCCCCACAAACAGCACCAAGTCGGGTGTGTTGACAGTAATGAGCTTAGCCAGGGCGGTCATCAGAGGGGCATTGTCTTGCATGCGGCCAGCTGTGTCCACCAGCACCACATCAAAGCCCTGGTTACGTGCTAGAGAGAAAAAAAGTGGTCAACTCAAAACTTTCTAGACTGTCCTGCTCGTCCCACCGTTCTCTCAAGAAGTGGTAACCTCGCTATATTAAAAGCCTGGGTGTTTACTTTCTTGGGCTCTGGATCTGGTTATAAGGTAGTGTGAGCAAAAACCTACCCTGTGCTTGGCCATCAAGAACATTCAAGAAAATACGGCAACAGGACAAAAGAGAGCAAACAGAGGTTTACTTGGGTGGAATATATTAGTTTTGCCCGCAGTTAGCTTCTCCTCATGGCAAGTTCTCCGTCCTGACTTGCTATTGAGCAGTAAGTTGGTAGAAGGGGAACCCTGACCCACTTCGAATCACAAGGAAAGCCCAGGAGGAAAGGGGCCCACAGCAGCCCCCCGCCTTCCTGTACGCCATACCAAAGGCAATCGCTTCCATGGCAATGCCCGCAGCATCCTTGCCATAGCCCTTTTCAAACAACTGCACCATAGTGCGGCCGCCATGGTTCTCCGGGGGGTGTAGGGCACTCAGGCGCCGGGTGTGTGTGCGTAGCTGCTCCACAGCCCCGGCACGAAATGTGTCACAGGCAGCGATGAGGACACTGAAGCCATTCTCTAACAGCCAGAAGGAAATCTGTGCAAAAGCAGCAAACAAATCAGTCCCTTAGAACCAGAGTCCCTAAGACATGGAGAGTGAAGATAAAGGGCGTCAGAGACCGGTGGGGAGCTGTACCGACCTTGGCAAGATTTGTAGACTTCCCCACTCCATTAACACCACAGAAGGTGACCACGTAAGGGCGCTGATGACGCTGGGCATCCATAATATCCCGGAGCATGTCTACACGACGCTGTGGCTGCAGAATCTGCACCAGGAACTCTTGTAGGGCTTGCTTTACTGTGGAAGTCACCGCTAAAAGGGGGTGGTGGATCTGTGAAACCCAAGGAATGCACGCCCAGGAACACCCAACACCTAAGGGAACTGGGATCTGGAGGATCCAAGGATCTTATCCCAGGAATCCACACATGTGACAGTGTTCCAAGCACTTTACAAGTGTTAACTCATTTAGTTCTGAGAACTCTTAAGTTACGCAACAGACGTTTAGAGGTGAAGGACTTTGCCAAAAGCCACACACCTAGTAGGAATGGAGATCAATGTGCTTAACTTCCTGGTACACATCATGCCTTGAGCACTTTCTGGTTTAGGGACATACTTACTGCTGAATGTCCCCATCACCTTCCCTTCCAGCTTGTTGGCCACAGATTCACAAAGCTGGACTGCAATGTCTGCTGCCACATTCTTAGCTGGAGAGACAGGGACAGGTGTGTGAGTGCCATGTCAACAGTAAACAACCCTATGGTACAGATGAGAACTCAAGGTGGTTCTCTCCACCACCCCTATCCCATAAACGTGAATGCCCCTATTCCTCACAACTTACCAATGAGATGATCACGCATCTTATCTAGCACAGACTCCATGTCTTCACGACTCAAGCTCTTGGACCCCACAAGGCCCTTCAGCATCCCAAACATGCCACCCAGAGTTCCCTTGGTAGCACTGCAGGCACAGGAGATCATAGATACATACAAAGCCAGTGGGCAGGAGTCAAAGTCTCTCATCTGTTCTGGAGCCACCCATACCACCCAACACCCGAAATTCTCCTACCTAGGTTTGGTGTTTTGAGCAGCCACTTCATCATCTGAGCTGCTGCAGTCCAGATCCTGAAGCTGCCCTCCAGGCCCAGTCCCTCGAATCTGGAGGGTATAGGGAAAGAAACAAGATGGGATCAGAACACTGAGGGTAAAGAAGCCCAGGATGTACCCTGTCCTCATTCCTCCATCTCTGATTTGGAAAACTCCAAACGTGACCCACCCCTTCATTCATAGAAACCAAAGGTACTGCCCTCCTAATCTCTACCTCCTCCCCAGTGTCTTAATGGTAACTCTCACTGGCCCGTTGCCTCTTACCAAGCTGATGTCCTCAGGTGGGGCAACCTCAGGGGCTCCATTGGTGGTGGGAAGGCTATAATCCAAGACTTCCTTGTTAGCACAGCCACCCAGTGCCCACACACGGGGTGCTTTTTTGCCCTTCTCCTTTGGAGTATCTGATTTCATGGACTTGCTGCAAAGGGTTACAGCACAAACGGTTACAGTGAAGTAGGAGAGGAAACATCCACCCAAGAGCCAGAGACGAGCTCCCCTGCCCCCGACATAGCTAGATAAGGGTATTTATGGTGAAAGTTAGAATGCCCTCACCTGGACTTCTCCAGACCTCTCCCATGCTTCTGAATGAACTCCTCTCTCTTCCTGCGTATTAGCTCCTCTTTGGAAAGTTCTACCCCATTCTCAGGCCCCACTGGGAGACCTGACTTTTCGGCAGGAACTGCTTTGCTGGTAGCCAAAAGGCCATCAGAACCTGTTAAAAGTCAAGTCACTGGAGAAAAACGACCAAATTCCAACAATGGGAAATAGTCTTCCAAACCCAAATTATTAAGAGGAAACTAGGAGCAAACATCTTGGGGATGACAAGGCCTGGGGAGGATAGGGTGATGGGCACTGAGCAAGGGAGACAAGCAATGACAAAGGGAAAGACGGAACAACTTCAGTCCTTACTGCCATGTTAACTTTTCATGCCCCTGTATGTCCAAGGAGCTCAAACTCACTCTCCTTCTTGGCCCCCTTTTTTTTGCTGTTCTTTGCTTTTTCCTTGGGCTTTTCACCCCGTGTCTCAATCATGGACCTCACAGGTTTCTTGGCCTTTTCTGAATCTTCAAATTTCTTCATGGTAGTGGGAGCACGGACCTTACTGCTCTCCTCTGCTTCACTAGAGAGAAGGGAATGATCAAAGTCCAGAAAAAGGGCCCTCATACCAAGAGGTCAATTAGAACTGGGCAGCAAATTCAGGAGTGTGTTTCAATACAATTTACTACCCTTGAACCACCCTCAGGAAAGAAGGGAGCTCATCAGGTCATGGAAATCGATTTTGCAGAGGGGTGGCCTCTCACCGAAGGAGCCGCAGGAAGTCATTTTGGAAATCAAAAGTGCCATTCAATAGACTTAAAGCACTTTGCTGTCGGATCTCTGTGCAATACTTGTCCCAAAACAGCCGGTGCACATCATCTATCAATTTGTCTACATACGTCAGTGTTAGGATCTTTTGAAAACCAACCTGTTCAGGGAGAGAAACAGAACCAACAGATCTGCTTACGAGCCAACTCAACCCAGGCCTCCTGAGACTGGCTCAGCGGCCTGGCAGGTTTCCCTGACCTGAGGGGCAGCCAAGCTCTCTGGGCTCAGGAGCAAGACGCTCCCTTTCCCCCTCCACCCTCTCTTTGTCCTCTCAGTTACTTCATCATATATGCTGGGTGCAATTAATTAGGGTTTTCTTAATCAGGATTATGTTGAAAGTGTAAATGTTGTCCCTCTTAAATACCCCCACTTACCACAAACACCAGCTCAAACTGGTTGTCCAGTTTATACTTGAGTGTGAGTGCCTCATGGGTGAAAGAGTTGTTACCTCCCCTTTCCTGGGAAAAAAAAAAAGTATGTCTCAACTTCAGACTACCCAGAAAACCCAGACTTGGGCCCTTCAAGGATTACCTTTGGGAAAAAACCAGACAGTTCCCTTAAAGTCAGACTTGTCCCCAGGACAACAGGATGCTTGGACCTTGCTCTCTAGCATCCCATCAGGGAGAGGAGGAGGTACCAAGTTCGGGGAAGGGGAGAAGAGGTTAGAGGGAAGGCAAGGCACGTGGAAACCAGAAGGGACCTAATGATACAATCAGATTTACCAGCAGCTGTACACTATTTTTAGAGGCGTTTTTCCATTTTCACACCCAGCCTTCGAAACAACAGAAAATCAAACTGCTTGGGGTGGAGGGGCGGGCGGAGGCGGAGGGTAAATGGAGGGAACTATGGGAAATCTCAAGAAGCGCCGGAATTCGGCTGGAGTCCCAGAAACGGAGGGGGAGGGGGGCGTCGCAAAGTTGCGGGATGGTCGGATGGGGGCGGGAGAGAGAAGCGGAGTCCCGGCAACGAGTAAGTGGCCAGTTTGGGATAGGCGGAAAGGGTGGGAGGAAGGTGTGGGATCAGTTGAAGAGGCTATGGACCGGATCAGGGGGCCGAGCCCAGAGTTCTGATCCCGCGGGGAGCGATACCTGCAGCAGCACAGAACGAATCAACGCATTAACGGGCCCGGTGCATGAGTCGCTCACGCCCTGGAAGCACCAGAGCACAAGCCCGCCCTTGGAGAAAATGGTGAAGAAGTCAAGCATGGCGGCAGCGGGAGAGGAGCCGGGGCCGGCGCCGGGAACTCAGGCCGCGATCGCCGCCGCTTCCTGCTGCGCCAAGCGCGGGACACGTCACACCAGCAGCCCCGGAAACCGGCTCAGCCGCACTTCCGCTCAGAGCTGTCGTGTTCTTTCTCCGCCTCCGCCCGAGGGCGCGCAGCACTGACGTAGACGCCAGGCTCGCCAATGGCGGGGGGGGCGGGCCTGGGCGGGGCTCTCGGGGACGGCAGCCTGTAGAGCTTAAGGGCGGGGCCTGAAAGGACCACTGGCCAATGGGCGCACTCGTCTGAACGGCCTGCGGCGTGGAACCGTGACGGCGGGGTGGGCATGGCGTAGGGAGGAGGCAGAGTGCGAGTCTCAAAGGGGCTGGTGGTAGAGTGACCATGCTGCGAAGGGCGTTGCAGCCAGGCTTGAGCCGGGGCGTCTTGGGCCGGGGGCTAGGCACACACAGAGGACGCTCCACTCTGGGTAAAGTTGAGGGCAGCGGAGGGTATCGTGGTTCTTGGGTGGCCCCAGTCTCCAGCTATGTGACCTTCAGAACTCGGGACCCGACCCACGATGGAAAGACAGTGGGTCGGCTGGGAGAAGGGGGTAAGCTTGCCTGCCGGATCTTGTAAAGCCTGAGCAGATGTATGGATCAAAACAGAGAGAACCCCTGTGTGGATTCCCTGGGCTGGGATGAAATAAAGCACCATCAAGGTGTGGAAGGGGCTGGAGTGGGGGAGTAGGGAGAGAACAAGGTAAACAGGAGCCAGACTGTGCAGTGTCTCATAGGCCGTGTTGACGATTTTGGACTTTTATTCTTGGAGTAACGGAAAGCCACTGGAAGGTTTTAAGCAAGACAGTGTGTGATTAAATTAGTGCTTAGAAAATATTCTAGCTATGATGCAGAGGAGTTGGGCGGGCAAGAGGGGAATTAGTGGGAACAATTAGGAGACTTTTGCATTAGTCTAGGTGAGAGCTTATGGTGGTTTGGTCGAGGGTGGTGGTAACAGAGATGGGAAAAAACGGGGGGCGGGACAGATTGGGGAGATATTTAGGAGGCAAAGCCATCGGGACTTGACAATAGATGGGACATGAATGTAGCTTTGCTGGTGGTGATGGATGGCCAGGATAAGATGCCACTCAAAGAGTATAATGCTTCAGAGGGCACTGCAGCTTGGGGTGTGCCCGGACCTATTGGTCCAGGAGCCTGGAACATCCAAGAGGAGAGGACAATGCAGTTGAATATATGAGCCTGGGGCTCAGAGGGAAGAGCAGTCTGCACAGGAGATAAACATGTGTAAGTCACCTGGCCTAGGGAGAGAGTACAGAGTGTTCATTTTAAGAAGTTGAATCTTGCATTGCTGGGCATGATGCATGAGAAGGCAGAGAGCCGAATGGCATACAGACCATATAGTGAAGCTGTGGAATACTGCTGGGTGCGAGCTGACCTTATGAGAAGGGAGGGCCATGGAGACAGCCACCTCAGTGTCTTCTTAGCCCACCTTTTCCTGTGCCAATCCTCTAACCCCTTACCACCTGGAAAGAGAAAGTCTGGCCTTCTGACCGTAATTGCGTCCCACAGACCAGAATGGAAAGGTGCCCGAGATTAAGAAGAAGGTCCAGTCAGTCCTTCCTGGAGGGGCCTGGAATCCACTGCACGACACCAGCTACCTGCCCCCTGAACACTCGGATGTGGTGATTGTGGGGGGTGGGGTGATTGGCCTGTCCGTGGCCTATTGGCTGAAGAGGTTGGAGAAGCCACGAGGTGCCATTCGGGTGCTGGTGGTGGAACGGGACCACACGGTGAGGTCTGGGGGAGGGTGGCGGCACGAGTGGGGCACGGACTCATATTTTATTAAGGGGCAAGGGGAGCCGAGGGGAGGAAAGACTTCAGTCTTTGGAGGTCCAAAGTCCAAAGGGACTGTACTTTGGCTCTTGTTGAAAATAGTCCCAGGTGCTTCCTCCCTCAAATTAGAGGCTTTGGCAGTAAGGTTTTTGCTTTTAAAAGCAAATTTCACGGTGTTGGATCTTCTGGGTGCCCAGAAGGTCCAGCAAAGAGAACCTGTATTCCTGCTGTAAGGAACACAAGCAGCTATCTCATCCCTTCGAGATGCTATTACTTCTGAGGTTTTGCACGGTTGTTCTATTTTATTTTCTAAGATTTTATTCATTTATTTGAGAGAGAGAGCACGCACAAGTGGAGAGGGAGGGGCAGAGGGAGAGGGAGAAACAAGACTCCCCGATGCGGGGCTCGATCCCAGGACCCTGGGATCATGACCTGAGCCGAAGGCAGACGCTTAACTGACTGAGCCACCCAGGCGTCCCTAGTTGTTCCTATTTTAACCACTGCCAGTTAACCAGGAATCTTGCTAGTTCTATTTTCCAGTTGGGTAGATGAAATGCTAGTTTCCTGCCCTTGGACTTCCAGGCCATTCCCATTCTGTGCCACAGTGCCCAGCCCTTTTAGATGACTGATTCTCTCTGCTCTGCACATCTGCTAAGAAGGATTTTAGGGGCGCCTGGGTGGCTCATTCGTTAAGCATCTGCCTTCGGCTCAGGTTATGATCCCGGAGTCCTGGGATTGAGCCCCGCATCGGGCTCCCTGCTCCGCGGGAGGCCTGCTTCTCCCTCTCCCTCTGCCCTCCCCCCAACCGCCACCGCCTCGTGCTCACTCTCACGTGCTCCTTGTCACTCTTTTTCTCTCCCTTTCAAATAACTAAATAAAAAATTTAAAAAAAAAAGAAAAGATTTTAATAATAGTTGCCCCCTTTGGGTGCTGGTTGACTTGCATATGGGTTTATCTACCTCAACTCCTCTTAGATTACAAGCTTGCAAGTAGGACTCCCCTCTATTTGTAGGTGCTTCTGTTAGAGGATTCTGCTCACGTGTGACGGGCTACTGGCCGCCCTCAGCTACTTTGGTCTTTCCACAGTATTCCCAGGCCTCCACCGCACTGTCTGTGGGCGGGATTCGGCAGCAGTTCTCGGTGCCTGAGAACATCCAGCTCTCCCTCTTTTCAGTTGAGTTTCTGCGGAACATCAATGTACGTGCAAAGGGGCTTGGGAGTTGGGGTTGTGACCTCTCCTTTAACCCAGAGAGAGGAGCCGCCCAGCCGGCCAGGGGAAGCAGGGAGCAGAAGCAGTTCAGGCAAGTAGGAGTTGGAACCTCTAGTTCTGTCCCCGGTGGTGGTATCCAGAGGAGGAGGGCTTCCCCAAGTCTCGGGAGCTATTGGTGAGGAAGCTAGGAGAGCTTTCCCTTCCTTCTTTAAATCAACTTCTTCTAAAGAGTTGTCTTTTTTTGCATATAGGAGTACTTGGCTGTAGTCGATGACCCTCCCCTGGACATCCAGTTCAACCCGTCGGGTTATCTCTTGCTGGCTTCGGAAAAGGGGGCTGCAGTCATGGAGAGCAACGTGAAGGTGCAGAGGTGGGTGCCCGGCACGACCACCCGGCTGCTGCTCAGCTGCACGCACCCGGCAGGCTCCAACACCGAGTTAGGAACTGGGGCGGGCGAGTTGATAAGACAGGTCTCGACTGTGCGGAAGCTCAGTCTATCAGGTAACACAGACAAGACCTCTGGGACCCTGTGCCGTCACACAGACGTGGACCATGCGCTACCGCGGTGGTTCCTGAATTTGCCAGATCCTAAGAACCACCTGGAAAATCCCACACCTGATGAGCCAGAACCTCTAGGGAAGGGCCCAGGAATCTGCACACTTCTCCTATAAGGGCCAGATACCCAATATTTTAGGCTTTTGGGGTCATATGGTCTCTGTGGCAGTCACTCAGCTCTGCAGTTGAAACAAAAGCAGCCATAGACAAAACATGGACAAAAATCTGAATGAATGAGTGTGACTCACATACAAAGATGCAGGCAGCAGACCGGTTTGGGCGGCCCCTCTCCTGAGTGAGTCTCATGGTTGGACAAGAGTGCATGTGTTTAACAAATAAACTTGCAAGGGACATCAGGTAATGTCCCAGATGTAGCACTTACTCAGGTAGCCACCCAAACATCCCCACTTTACATGTGGGTAAACTGAGGCACGAGGCGCTAGTCAGTGGTGGTGCTGGGATTCAAACCAGGCAGTCTGCCTTGCCAGTGTGTTCTTTCAGGATCTGTGTTGCTGTGTTTGGGGGACAGTGTCCCATAGGAGATTGTTGTGCTGGTGGACAGGGCTGTACTAGAAAGTGGACAGGAAGGCCATTCTAGGCAGAAGGGAAGGGAACAAGGGGAGGGAACCAAGTGACCTGCTCTGTTGTGAAAGGACAGGGAATAGTTAGGGGATGACAGGGAGTTTAGTGTGGCCAAGGAGATACCAGAGTGTAGGAAAGGAAAGCGGGGTCAGGTGCTGAAGAGCCATGACTAGGAGGCTTGGTCTTGACCCCCTCAGCAAGGAGGAAAACTTGGGGAGTTTGGGGCAGAGATGTGACACAAATGAGGCAGGATCCCCACTTGTGGAGTTGGGGTCCCTACTTCTCCCTCTCTGCACCCCCCCGCCCGACACACCTGCACACAGTTGCACGTTTCTCTCAGGCAGGAAGGAGCCAAAGTCTGCCTGATGTCTCCTGAGCAGCTTCGGAACAAATTTCCCTGGATAAACACAGAGGGTGTAGCGTTGGCATCTTACGGTGAGGCCTGCTTGCAGAGGGGTTCAGGGGTCAAGGGGTGCCTCAGGTTGGGAGTCTCAGCACCTTTTAGCCACGTCAAGAAGCAGTGCTTCCCCCTGGCCAGCAGAGCCTCCCCCCAGGCCATGCTTGCTCTCTGTCCTTCCACAGGATTTGCCTCTGGTGCACTTGGGCACCCTGACCTTCCCTGGCTTATGAGCCCTAAAAAGGAGTCAGGGGCATGGGAAATCCAGCAGGAGAGGAGGGTCCTAATCCTGCCTCATGAGTCCTCTTGCTCATCACAGGGATGGAGCACGAAGGTTGGTTTGACCCCTGGTGTCTGCTCCAGGGGCTTCGGCGGAAGGTCCAGTCCATGGGGGTCCTCTTCTGCCATGGAGAGGTGACACGTGAGTCTGAGGTCCCATGCTTCTTCCCTCCGCCAGCCAGGGCACAGGCGTGGTTGGGGTCTTACCTTCACTCACGGGCTAAGCAAGAGTTGGTGGGAAAGGGGGTTCTCCCTGAGGGCTGGTCCTGGCCATTCTGACTCCAGCTCCTAACTCGGCTTCTCTGCATGATTTACGACGGACTTGAAGGCATGCTCCTGACCCGTGTGCGGCCAAGTTCGTCCTGGTTAATCCCATCTCTGTGGAAAAACCCCCGCCTTCCAGCTCGCTTTCCTCGTGAAACCCATGGAATCCCAGTCTTACCCTCTTCAGGCCTCAGGAGTTCTTTTTTTTTTTTTTTTCCCCCATGCAGGTTTTGTCTCTTCGTCTAGCCACACGAAGACCACAAGTGGGGAAGAGGTGACTTTGAGAAGGATCCACGAAGTCCATGTAAGTTCCCAGTCTGTGCATCTTCCTGACCAAACCAGAGGGATAAGACAGGTAACAACTGTCATCTTCATCTTTTTCTGCCCACTTCCAGTCTGGGTAAACTAAGGCTCAGGAAGAAATGTACCTCTCATGGTGCCCAGTGTGTGGGCCAGGCCCTCCCTCCCCTCCCCCTTTGGTGCCTGCAGGTGAAGATGGACCGCAGCCTGGAGTACCAGCCTGTGGAATGTGCCCTCGTGATCAACGCAGCAGGGGCCTGGTCTGGCCAGATCGCAGAGCTGGCTGGTGTCGGGAAGGGGCCCCCTGGCACCCTGCAGGGCACCAAGCTACCTGTGGAGCTGAGGAAAAGGTAACTCCCCTCGGGGCGGCTGAGGAGGTTGGGGAGGGGGACAGAAGCAGTGTAAGAGTTTGTTAAATGTGGTTGGGAGGGGCAGGGGGTGTGCTCTTCCCACCATTTTCTAACCTGGTCGTGGCAGGTATGTGTACTTGTGGCACTGCCCCCAGGGACCGGGCCTGGAGACCCCATTCGTCATGGATGCCGGTGGAGCCTATTTCCGGCGAGAAGGACTAGGCAACAACTATCTGGGTGGCTGTAGCCCCACTGAGGTAAACTAAGCAGGGTTGGGGTGCTGGGCAGGAGACGTAGGCCAACTGTCATTAAAGAGTCAGGCTTTGGGGCGCCTAGGGGGCTCAGTCAAGCCTTTGCCTTCAGTTCAGGTCAGGATCCCAGGGTCGTGAGCTCGAGCCCTGCATCGGGCTTCCTGCTCGGGGAGGAGTCTGCTTCTCCCTCTCCCTCCCTGCTTGTTGTCTCTCACTCGCTCACTCTCTCTTTCTCTCAAACAAATAATAAAATCTTAAAAAAAAAGAAGAAGAGTCAGGCTCTTTGGAGGGCCCAGCGCTGTTACTGATGTTCTAGCCCCTCTCGGTTTGAATTGGGATCTTTCCCCCCACCCCCCCACCTACTGAGGGGATTGAGTAAAGGGTCGGTGAGGTCTGGGTCGGCCCTTGTGTCCCAGGGAGCATAAGTCCTGTCCCCACCTCTCACTGCAGGAGGAGGAACCGGACCCAGGGAACCTGGAAGTGGACCATGATTTCTTCCAGGACAAGGTGTGGCCCCCTTTGGCCCAGAGGGTACCGGCTTTTGAGACTCTGAAGGTAACTAGGAGGCACATGAGCCTGGAGCACCTTGGTCCCCTTGGAAATCCTGTCCACTGCCACACGCCCTCCACCTCACAACTGCTAAGGACTCATGGTCTAGGGACCCATCCCATCGACCCCTCAGCAGCTGGCAGACGCTGCTGCGTCTGACCCCCGAGCAGGAGTGAGGGTGGCACGTGTCAGCACTTTCCTGGGAACCCCAGTGTCCTGTCCACCTGCAGGTTCGGAGTGCTTGGGCTGGCTATTACGACTACAACACCTTCGACCAGAATGGTGTGGTGGGTCCTCACCCACTCGTCGTCAACATGTACTTTGCCACAGGCTTCAGTGGCCATGGGCTCCAGCAGGCCCCCGCCGTGGGGCGAGCTGTGGCAGAGATGGTGCTGGATGGCCACTTCCAGACTATCAACCTGAGCCCCTTCCTCTTCAACCGCTTTTACTTGGGAGAAAAGGTCCAGGAGCACAACATCATCTGAGCCTGTAAGCTCTTCACTGGGCCCCGCTGCCCCATCCGTCACCCTTGGCTCACATTCACATCCTCCTCACTGTGGCTTCCTCCCCAGCACCAAGCCAGGCTCTCCTCCATCCTCCTCTCCCCACGGGGCTGGGCGGGCAGGCAGGCCGACTCTAGGCTTTGAGAGGCACTGTGCCTGAGGCCCAGGCCAACAGAGAATGATGGGGTGAGACCCCAGGACTGATCTCTGGCCCGGGCCAAGGCCGCCCGCCAAGGTAGTGCAGCTGGGCAGAATACCTGAGCACGTGCCCCAAGACTGGCTGCTTCTGGCACTGACCCCGAAAGATTGCCTCTGCCTCTCTTTGGCAGGCTCCAGCAGAGCCCAGGCAGGGGGCATTGCAGGGCAGCCTGGCCCAGATTTAGTGATTGTTTACCTTTTTCATCAGTCAATAAATGTGATTACTCTTTCCATCCGGGCCTCTGTCCCTTCTACTTTCACCTCCTAAAGCACCCACTAGCCTTTCACACCAGACTGGGAGGAGCATGGCCTTCTCTTCCCAGGAACATTCTAAAGTCCTCCTTACAGGCATCTTGTTTGCAAGCGAATGCCTCCTCTTCCTGAGTCCCTGCAGGGGTTTGGTTGTAGAATGTAGGGAAGGCTTCGTTCATTTATTCACTCTTTATTCGGCTCCAGCTCTTGGCCAGGCCCAGGGCTGCATGTTAGGGATATGCAGCAGACAGGGCATACTGTATGTCGTCACGGGAGTGTTCTTATCTCTGCCCTGCCCTTCAGCCCAGATCAGATGTAGTGCCGTCCCCGTAGTGCCGGGAATAAGCACAGGTCCCGGACACCTCGTCTCACCTGGGTGTTTCTCCATGAAGCTTCTCAGGGAAGTTGACCTCTGAGCTGAACCTGCAGGACGAGCAGTTTAACGAAGTGAACGCACAGAGGGGAAGCGGGGAGGAGAACGAGGTCGGGGGTGATTGCAGGCTTCAGGAAAACCATATACAAATGCCCAGGACCAAGGGTTAGTAAGATTCAAGGGACAGTAACAGATCTGTCCAGGCAAGATCACGGAGGGAAGGAAGAGAGGCAGTAACATTCGGGGCAGGGCCAGGAGCCCAAGAGCCGTGCTGTGGCGCTTGGGTTGTATTCTGTGGGCTTTCAGTAGAGAAGAAACATGCTCCGATTTTCCTTTTAGAAAAATCACCATGACTGCCTTGTGGCGAATAGAGTATGATGTCAAAGCAGGAGGGCAGATGGGAGGCTATCACTGCAGTCCACAGGGCAGACAGCGGGGCCTGCACTGTCAGGGCAAGAAGCATGTGTGTCCAAGAAGTGACAGTAGTCACGAGAAATGGGGTCAAGTAAGACTCAGGTTTTTGGCTTGGACAGCTACATGTATGTCTTGCCTTTCACAGGGGTGAGGAACACACCAGGGAGGAGCAGGGTGAGGGACAAAATGAGTGGTAGAGTGTGGGACATGTTGAGTAAAGGGTGCGTGCAAGGACATTGGGTAGAGCTGTCTAGCTGGGAGTTGAATGTACTGCTGGGCACTCAGGATGATCTAGGCTGCAGAGATATGGACACCATGGAAGAGAACGGCATCCCCCCACAAGGGGAGAAGAGTAGGGGACCAAGGGGGGAAGCCAGGGGGGACCCCACTGTCATTTTAAGGGACAGACGAAGGGAGAGGAAGCCGAAGAGGTGGCCAGACAAGCAGGAGAAAAGCCGGGAGCATGAGGTGTCTCGGGAACCTAGGAGCGCTCCGTGATGTCCATGCACGTTCACAGGCTGGATCAGTACCAGTAGGTCAGTGGGGCCCCCAGGGAGAGCGGGTCGGGGAAGAAATGTACCTCGGTGGGGTGCGAGGTGACAGTTGTTCGGAAGGGAGAAGTGAATGGGAGTAGAGACAGTAAAACGTTCATTACCCCCTCAAAAGCAGCCTTTGGGGAGAAGAAGGAAGAAGATGGGCCTGACTATCAGTTGTGTGAGGGAGGGCGGACCGGGGACAGGGGAGTGGTGCTGCCCCCTGAGGTAGCAGGAGAAGCCCCTGGGGGAGGGGAAGAGCCAGGACTGATGAGGCCAGCGAAAGAGGAAAAGCCTCCGGTGCTGAAAGACAGGAAGGAACTTGCCAGGGGCATGGGCTAGGGACAACCCAGGCCAAGCCCAACATCCATGGTAACCCTGTAAACTAGCCTCGTCAGGTGCCCAGTATTCACTCACCCTGCCTTCAGTAGCTACCCCCCTCTGTGGGTCAGAAGGAAAATGGCCTTCATCTGGCTCCTCACCCTGAAGCTACTTCAAGATGACAAACACTGTACTCATTTATTAAGAATGCATTAACGAGGGCGCCTGGGTGGCTCAGTCGGTTGAGCGACTGCCTTTCGGCTCAGGGCATGATCCCGGAGTCCTGGGATCGAGTCCTGCATCGGGCTCCCTGCTCGGCAGGGAGTCGGCTTCTGCCTCTGACCCTCTTCCCTCTCGTGCTCTCTCTCTCTCATTCTCTCTCTCAAATAAATAAATAAAATCTTAAAAAAAAAAAGAATGCATTAATGAGGCCTCGTAGGAGAGCACTTACCCAGCCCTCGGTCTTCCCTCTCAGTCCAAGCCTCCTTCACCTTTGCCCCCAACACTGAGCTGTCGCCGCGCGTGTCATCCACCCGCTCTCAGCCAGGTTTCCCGGAGTGCCTGTGCCCTGCGCTGGAGCCGGAGGGGAACCCTGGCTTCAGAGACCTCGCAGTCTAATGGGAGGGCCCCCCCGCGGTAAGCTCAACTCCAAACAACACAGGGTGGTGACAGGGCTGGTGAGGAAAGAGGTGGGAAGGGCAGGGTTAAGAAAGCCGTAGAAAGGAGCCTTGCCAGAAGGGGGCGCCGGAAGAGCACAGCTGGGAAAGAAAGGGCACGGTGGGTGGAGGGAACAGCGGAGGTCAAGCACCCAGCTGGCAAAGCAGAGGTGTGTTGGATAAAGGGTAAAAGAAACTCTTCCTGTACTTCCTACCTACTTCATCTCACCTACTCCTCCCCGCAACACTGGGAGCCAGATAACTGTCATCTGGCCACCAGTGAAGTGAACCGAGAAAGGCCACATACTTCCCCAAGGTCAGAGGGCTAGTAAGTGATGAGCTCTGGGTGTGAACCCCAGCGATCTTGCTCCAGAACCGCTCCAGAGCCCTCGTGTACAGTCCGAGACCACACTGCCTCCCAGGATTAGCCACTAATTCGCTCCGCTGGCTGGTGAGAAACGTAGGAAATCTGACTGAAAGGGAGATCATGAATCTTTCATCAGTCCTATTAAACTAGCTGCATCGTCCAGCATTTGGGAGGAATGTTTCCCAAACTGCCACGCCATGGAACACTGCTCAGGAAGATACTGGTATTTCTACTACGGTGAAACAAGTCTGGGAAAGGCTACCTGTTGTCTTCCCTCCACCCTCCACCCCCCCCCCCACCCCGTCCTGGTGCTTCACAAAGCTCATCAGCAAGCGGGCAGGTAAAGAAATCCTGCACTTTAACCCAGGACTCAGCCAATGTCTTGCTCATCACGTTTGTGCAGCAGGGAAGCGCGCGGTTTGGCATCGGCTTCCAACACCCGCCTCTGTTGTGCCCCCCCAACCACCCCCCCGCTCCATTTCTGCGGTTGAGAGCTCCGCTACCACCTACCATGTGGACTTTGGACAAGTCCTTAAATCTCCACTTCTTTTTTTTCTTTTTCTTTTCTTTCTTACTCCACCCCGCCCCCCGCGCCCCCGCCGCCCCAGGCCGCGCATGGGGGAGGAGTAGAAGGAGAGGGCTAGAGAATCTTGAGCAGGCTCCACGCTGAGCAGAGCCGCACCCAGGCTGGATCTCGGGACCCCGAGATCATGACCTGAGCAGAAATCAAGAGTGGGAGACTTAACCGACTTAACCGATTCAGCCACCCAGCCACCCACTTTTTTAACTGTAGGGAAAAGTACAATGGCTGGTCTTGCGGGTCGTTAAGAGAATTAAATGAATGGCACAAGGGTTTCTTTCCTTCTCCCCGACACAGAACAAAGCCGAGGCTTCGGGCTGTCCGCGTGGGTTTCGGGGGACGCGGGAGCACCGACTCTTCTCAAGTTTCTGCGGGTTTGCTGGCTCCGGAGCTCCCAAGGCCCCGGGGGCGGGGCGGCGAGGGGAAGCACCGGGGAGGCGCGGTTCCCAGGCGGAGCGACCCGGCGGCCGCCGGAGGGCCTTGCAGACTCAGGGCGCGAGCCAGGGAGGAGGGGCCGCGGGTTCGGCCGCCTCGCCGCTTCCGGGGGAGCCGGAGAGCCGGGCGGCCATCTGCCCGGGCCTGCTCGCCGCACTTCCCCTCGCAGGGGGCGGCCGGCACCGCGCAGGAGCCTGAGCCAACCCCGCGGTCCGCACCGCGGCGGGGTCGCCGCCACCCACGCGCAGGTGAGCCCTCGGCGGGGGCGGGGGCGGTGCGGGCCGGGGGCGGAGTCCCCGCGGTGGGGGTGGGGGTGGGACTGTGGGACCCCTGCGCCCCGGCCGTGCCTCCCGGACGGGCCGCATGCATCCCTGCGGCACATCTGCCCCGGGGGACCGCCTTCCTCTCTCCTGCCCCCTTTACCTGGCTGCCTCCAGCAGCCTGAACGCGGAAACGGGATGGACAGGCTCTCCCAAGAAAGCTGTCACTTTCTCCGCGAAGGAGCTTGTGCAGGGAGCCCCCCCTTTCAGTGTGGGTTGAAGACCCTGGCTTGGTCGGGTTGTTTCCATCTTTAACTGTAGTGTTTCTACCACAGTCTCCTTACATCCTTCTTTGCTCTTCTGATGGTCTTTGCGAGTGTTTCAGCAAGAACATGGCTTTAGTTAGGGTTCGTGACCTACCGAGGCATTTCTTTGACGAACATCTATCTTGGGCAGGCCAACGCGTGCAGTGCTGGAGTGACCGCAGTGGACAGGGAGGGGTCAGCCCTGTCCTCCCCCTGAGGACGTAAATTAGAAATCACGGCTCAACCCTGGTAAGTGCCACCAAGAGAGGGGCAGTCCGGAGTACTCCGGTAGCTGAGACACCTAAGCCAGAGGGCATCTAGGGCCTTGAGTGACTGACTGTCAGAAAGTCACATCTAGTTATTTTTTTTTTAACTTTTAAGAAACTATTGAAATACGACCTGCATATAGAGAATTGCACAATCATAAGTGTGCAGCTTACCCAGTTTTCAGAGAGTGAGCATTTCCTGCACAACCTGTATCCAGAATAAATAAAATATGGCTAGCACTCCAGAACCCTCTATGTCCACTTCCGTTGACTGCTTTCATCTAAGGGGAACTGTTATCCTGGCTTCTCACATCATAAAAAGTTTGCTTGGTTTTGAAGTTTTGATATGTGGACTCGTGTGTACCTACTTTTTATGTATAGTACTTTACACTCAGTATGTGAGATGCAGCCATGTTGCATTTAGCCGTGATTCATTAATCTCAACTGATGTGTGATTTTGCACTGTACAGATAGAGCGCAATTTATTTCTACTTTCTACTGGACACTTGGGTGGATGGACATGGGCTGTTTCCAGTTTGCTTTTTTTTTTTTTTTTAAATAGTGCCTCGAGGATTCTTGTGGTTGTCTTTTGGGGGACGTATGTAGCAGTCCCGTTGGGTATATCCCTAAGAGTGGAATTGCTAGGTGTGTTTATGTTCAGCTTTAGCATAGTTTAGTGCCACATGGTTTTCCAAAGTGCTTGTAGGAATTTACACTCCCAACAGCAGTGTGTGAAGTCCTATTCCTTAACATCTGTACCAATACTTGATATTGTCTCTTTTTTTCATTGTAGCATTCTGCTCAGTGCTCCAGCAGTGGTGTTGCACTGAGGTTTTAATTTGCATTTCTCTTTTGACTGATCAGTCTGCATCTTTTCTTTTCTTTTTTTTTTTTAAAGATTTTTATTTATTTAAGAGAGAGAAGAGAGAGAGAGAAAGTACATGGGGGGGGGAGGGTCAGAGGGAGAAGCAGACTCCCTGCCGAGCAGGGAGCCCGATGCGGGACTCGATCCAGGGACTCCAGGATCATGACCTGAGCCGAAGGCAGTCGCTTAACCAACTGAGCCACCCAGGCGCCCAGTCTGCATCTTTTCATGTCGGGCATTTGGATATCCTTTTTGCAAAGTGTTCAATTCTTCTGCCCATTTTTTTCAATAGATTATTACTTTTTTTTTTAAAGACTTTATTTATTTGACAGAGAGAGAGAGACAGCTAGAGAGGCAACACAAGCAGGGGGAGTGGGAGAGGGAGAAGCAAGCTTCCCGCCAAGTAGGGAGCCCGATGCAGGGCTCGATCCCAGGACCCTGGGATCATGACCTGAGCCGAAGGCGGACTCTTAACGACTGAGCCACCCAGGTGCTCCAGATTATTACTTCCTTACTAGTTTGTAAGAGTTCTTAAATATTCTGGTTATGAAACATTTATTGGATATGTATTTTTAAAATATCTTCTCGGGAGATTGCCTTTTCACTCTCTTGAAGGTGGCTTTTGATGAACAACAGTTCTTCACTTTAATGTTGCCCAATTTATCTCCCCCCACCATGGTTGAATTATTTATGACCAGTTGAAAAAATCTTCACTTTACCCCAGGGGGTAGTGGGTGGGGAAAATGAGTGAAGGTGGTCAAAAGATACAAACTCCAGTCATAAGGTAAAGAAATCCTGGGGATGTAAATTTACAGCCTGGTGACTAGACTATAAAACTGTATTGCATATTTGAAGGTTGCTAACGGAGTGGATTTATTCTCATCACAAGAAAAAAATGTGTAACTATGTGGTGATGGATGTTAGCTAGACTTATTGGGTGACTATTTCACAATATATACATATATCGGATCATTGTGCTGTGCACCTGAAACTAATGTTTTATGTCAATTACATCTCAATTTTAAATAATCAGAAGATGAAGTCAGGAAGATAAACTCCTATATTTTCCTCTAAAAGCTTTATTGTTTTTCTCACTTATATCTGCCATCCGTTTGAAATTGAGTTTTTTGTATGGTGTGAGATTTGGGTCAAGATTTATTTTTTTCCACAGGGCTATCAAAATTGATGCAGCACCACTTTCCCCACTGCTTGGCAGTGTCAGCCTTGTCATCAGGAGACTGTATGGATGTGGGTCTGTTTCTAGACACCCTGTTCTTCCATCCGTCTGTGTACTCACACATGAGTAGCATGCTGCCTTAAATAATGCTTTATAATAAGTCTTCATTATTTTATTATTTATCTTTATTATTCTGGTGGTGGAAGCTCAGCATTGTTCTTCTTTAAGATCTTAGGTATTTTTTTTAATCTATGCCTCCCAAAACTTCTTTAAAAAAAAAAAAAATATATATATATATATATATATATATAAAGGAGTCATTTGGTAAGTTCAATGGGACTAATGTAAAAGGGTATACAATTGGCATAATTTGTAAACCATACCCATTCATAAATTTACTACTGGCACTATCTGTATTATATTCAATGCCACATATTTACATCAGATCTACTGCAAAGTAAATACAAAATCAATTTACACCATTTTAGTTAAAATGAGCTTTAGTACCTGTATGATACAGTTTCAGAACAAAGAGAATTTTTTAAAACTAAGAAGCTGAGGTATCCCAAAGACCAATTTGCTACTTTTTTGCAAAATACATCACCATTAATTATAATGCTTCCCATTCATGTTTGATCAGTAAGATAGTTCCCATGTGACTGAGCTTCAGCTAAAGTTTTAGATTTGAATAACCAGTTACAATACTTTCGACTTATAATTAAATTTTTAAAAATGGGTGCTGTTACACGCACACATGCATATATATATATACTTTTGGACATTTTTAAAGTCTTCAAAATTTATAAAATATACTTTTGAAACCATATGTGCCAGCGAACATGATTTATTTTAATACAGGTCATAAGACTTCAGTTAATCAACGGGAATTCTATGACTGTTTTCTGCCTGCTAGAGTTCCACCTTTTTTTTTTTTTAAAGATTTTATTTATTTATTTGAGAGAGAGAGAGAGAATGAGAGATAGAAAGCGCAAGAGGGAAGAGGGTCAGAGGGAGAAGCAGACTCCCTGCTGAGCAGGAAGCCCGATGTGGGACTCGATCCCGGGACTCCAGGATCATGACCTGAGCCGAAGGCAGTCGCTTAACCAACTGAGCCACCCAGGCGCCCCTAGAGTTCCACCTTAAATTTGACTTTATAGCAGAATCAGTCATCTGGAATTTATTTCATAAATTCAATCTCAAGATTTGCTGGGTTGCTTTCAATCACTTCACTGCTTATAAATAGAAGTAACAATATAAATTGAGAATAGTGGTTCCTTGGATCAGAGTTTCCTAGACAGCTCTTCAAAACTGAATTCTTGGGCCCCATTTCTAAAATATCGAATTTTAGATTTCCAGGAGAATCTATATTTTTTTTTTAAAAGCTCTCTAGGTGATAACAATATGGTTTCAGAACCACTGACATAACCCACTAGACCAATCTTCTTAGGTATGTCAGAATCCTGCTTCCTAAGCTTTACCCAGAGATTTACTTCAGTCGATTTGGGAGGGGGCACAGGAACTGGCATTTCAAACCATCATTGCAGTTAGTCCCTGTATTTGTTTTCTGGGCTGCATAACAAATTACCACAAATTCAGCAGTATACACCAACACCTACTTACTATCTCATAGTTTCTGTGGGGCAAGGGCCAGGCAAGACTTGACTGAATCTTCTGCTGGGGTCTTACCTGGCTTAAGTCCAGGAATTAGCTGGGGCTACAGTGCCACTGGGGATTCAAATGGGGAAAGATTCACTACCGGACTCCCTCAGGTTGTTCTTTGTTGGCAGAATCTCCTTGCAGTTTTAAGACTGAGGTCTGTTTTCTTGCTGGCTGTCAGCTAGCGATTACTTCTCTAGAGGTTACTTCTAGAGATCACACAGCTTCTAGAGGCTGCCTGCAATTTCTTGACACTGGCCCTCTTACAGCAAGGCTGGCAAATTCTTCAAAGTCAGTAAAGGAATCTCTCTCCAGTCTGCTAAGATGAATTCAAACACACACACACACAAAGTATGACACAATATTCATATATATGTTATATTCACATGTACACATCATTTTTTACATAATTTTATTTTTTTTAAGTAATCTCTACACCCAGTGTGGGGCTTGAATTCATGACCCCAAGTTCAAGAGTCATACGCTCTACCAACTGAGCCAGCCAGGCACTCCACGTGTACTCACCTTATATAGTAAATATACATGGTGTGTGTATATACATATAAATGCATATACACACATGTATACATCATGTTTATAGTAATGTAACCAGGTGAGTGACATTCCATAATCTTTGCCATATTCAGTCAGAAGTCATGAGTCTGGCCCACACAGGTGTGAACATGGCCACCCTCGGGCCTGTCTACTAGTCTGCAAACCACTCTTAGAAACACAGTATTGGGGCGCCTGGGTGGCTCAGTCGTTAAGCATCTGCCTTCGGCTCAGGTCATGATCCCAGGGTCCTGGGACTGAGCCCCGCATCAGGATCCCTGCTCAGTGGGAAGCCTGCTTCTCCCTCTCCCACTGCCCCTGCTCGTGTTCCTTCTCTCGCTGTGTCTCTCTCTGTCAAATAAATAAATAAAATCTTAAAAAAAAGAAAAAAGAAAAGAAACACAGTATTGTATCGATCCAGCTATTAACAATTCAGTTGAACATTTTAAGTAACACTGACCTGCAAGTCCTAATGCTCCTGCCCAACAAGTGTCTTAGCAAATGTTTGAGAAGCAAAACTTAACCTTTGAAACCAGTGTTCCTAATTTAAAGTCAAAATCAAGTGTCAGGATAATTTATTCATCAAAGAAGTGAAAAACTCTTTCAAATAATTTAAACCTTTAAACAGACCAGTCTTTAGCACTCAGATTCAATGCTTCCTCCATTCACTAGCATGACAGACAATCAAAGATAGTGTAGTAGTTTCCTACTGTTTCTCTAACCAGTTACCAAA